GAAGAGGTGGTGATATAGGCTCATCTCCAGCAGGGAGGGGTGGCACTTCTGCTTCAGGAGGAGCCAGCTGCTGCACTTCGTCAGAAGAGACGGGATGAACCTCAGGAGACCGCACTTCGGCCAAGGCTGCCTGTTCCCCAACTCCAGTGCCTTGTTCTTCTTCTTCTTCTTTTGCATCTTCCTCTTCTCCCCCCACTGCCACCAACTCAGCCTCAAAGGTTGGAGGAAAAATAGAGCGCCCCTCTGCATCACGCTCCCACTTCAGAGTGATCTGAGGTAGGAAGTCAGCACAGAGGCTCTCCCCATCTTCCTCCACCCCTTCTTCTTGTTCCCCAAAGGTGACTGTTGTCACGTCCACCTCTGGGTACTGGGCCTTCACTTTCTTTCTACAGTCGGTGAAGGCCACAATTGCAGTTGGCAGCCGATAGAGCTTGAGGATGTCCTCGAAGATGCTGGAGTTGAGGAAGTTGCCAATATGCTCCTCCATCCCATTGTGAACCAGCATGTCCACGTTCTTCTTCAGTTCCGCAGCTGCTTTCCTCATTTTATCCATATATTTGTCCTGCGCCTCGAGCTTCTCCTCGCATATCTTCCTTTTACGCTCTTCAAGGCCGAGCTTCGTGCTCAGGACATCATTCTCGTTCTGCAGCTCGGTCACTGAAGGGAGAACTTCATCCAGCCTCCTCTGCATCTCCCTCTTCTGCTTCTCCCACTCCACCTTCTTCTTCTGAAGCTCATCTTTCTCCCTCTGAAGCTGGTCGCACTGCCTTTGCAAGCTGGCACGATCTCTAACGCTCTCTGCATACTCTTGCGCTAGAGCGTTTGTCCAGCTCGCACTCTACAATGCAATCAGAAGTCAGACACCAGGCACAGGACAAACAACTCACAACATACAACCGGAGTAAAATCTAATTATTTCACATACCTCCAAGGCATGCCTCACAATGGTATACCCTGCATGGCTAACCACTTCGTCCTTCGCCCGCATCCTATCCACCTCAGGAAGGGTAGCGTTGAGGAAGTGCTTCGCCCTAGTCTTGTTTGCCGCCTCAAACAAACTTCTCTGGTATATGTGTGGAGGGGTGCGCTCCCTGCCCCCATCAACGCCTTGCACTTCGACCTCTCCTCTCCCCCTGTCTTCAGGATTAATTTCTGGAGGAGAAGGCTGGGACACGAACTCCACCACCTCGGTTCCCAGCTCTGCCACCCTCCTCTTCTTCCTCTGGAGAGGTGCCATCTCCTCACTCACCTCTTCACTACCCCCCACTGCAGGCTCAAGCCTTAGCTGCACCTCCACAGCCGGGGCAGAGACGCTGGACAGTCGCCCCCCCCATGTCACCTCCTTCTCCGCCGCAGTTGAAGTCTTTGACTTCTTCCTTGGCTTTTTAGGGATGCGCAAGCCTCCAGCAGCAGTGGTAAACTCCTCCATTTCAGCTGCAAAACAAACACAAAGGTCAAAACGCATAAAGCAAGACCTAACTAACATAGCACAATGTAAACATACACAGACCTTCGCTCAATGAGCTTGGCCCATAGAGCTCAGCAGCCTCTATTGCCTGTGCACTGGTGAGGTATAAGATGTCCAACACGTCTCCGTCCTCCCTCACCAGCTTCTTCACCTCCTCCACCTCATCCTCATTCAACTTATAGTTGTTCTGCTTGGTTTTCTTCGCTTTCCAAGCAGACAACTGTTCTACTTCGGCATCCCTCCTACTCCACTCGGTGTCATCCACAAAGAAGAAATTTTCTTTCCACCCTTTGAT